GTATTGTGCAATTATCAAATGTCTAGTAGTAAAGTAAATCATTGAAATTAAATTGTTAAAAGATGAGTAAATTGCCTACTTCGCAAAGATTAGTTGCTTTTTCACCACTTCTTAAACGATCCGCAATCTTTTTCGGAATCATTTGATATAATAGTAAATCGGTTTTTTTCATTTCAACGTCCAACTTTTTCATGCTGTCTTCTAATGCTTTACTTTTTTGTCGTTCCTAGGTACAAAAACAAACACCGCTATCAAAACAACAAGTAGGATAACAATTTTATGAACAATTTACTTGATCAAGTGCTAATTTCAATTCAGCTGACTGTTGTGTACCCGCAAGCACAAGATCACGACTTGAATCATGCATACTCAAGTCATTGATGAATAAACCAGTATTAAACATCACATCCAAATTTTCTAATCTAAATGATAATGAGAGTTTTAAATATTTTAATAGATTCAATACGTAAACATTGAAAGTACACAGGTGTGGCTAGATAGATGATTGCTTTCCATTCTTGGACATATAACATTTGTCCACGTAAACGTAAGTAATCTTCTTGTGATTCTCGTTGCGTTGTCATTGTTAGCAATAATTCTGAAAGTAATAGATAAGAATAAAAATAACAAACAAAAAACGAAGCAAATAAATTACCAGAATCATTTCGTGCGTGAGCGTCATTAATTTGTAAATCGTTTTCGTTTGCTTGTTTCCTCAATGGTTCAATTGTTGAAAATTCAAATACGTTATTTGAATGTAAAACAATTTGATCCCAGTTGAGTGTAATAATGGGACTAAAAGAGAGAAGAAAAATGAGTTCACAAAGAGCACATAAAAATACTTTATATATTTTACCGAACAAGGTTAAATATATCTCGCATTAATTCTCCCACAATATTTGGAAATAATTGTGTTAAACTATCACCAGCGCTAACGATTTCTAATGTACTACTGATGACCATATGAAATGGAAATAATTCAAAAAATATATGACAGTCAATCGATAAATCTAATTCAGCCATCTCATTTTCAACTGCTTGCTTTGGATAGACTGTATTCGCAAATGTTAATTCAAATACAACATGAGTGACATCAAATTCTTCACGTTGACTAATGACTTCGATTTCAACATGAGTGTCATAAAAACGACGGCCAACCTAAAAAAAGAACAAATGGTTGAAAGAATGTTCAATAAACAGTGTTCAACAGATAACATACCTCTCTTATTTGTCCAATTACGTAGTAAACAAAACCTCGTCGACGACTGCGATAATGTAATGTCAAACCATTGGGCGTCTCTTTTTCGACATAGAATGACGGTGGTCTCATTCGAGGATACGTATATCTCATGTATTCATGAAGATTATCCAATCCGTTGAGAAAGTCACGCATATTGTGTCCGCTAAAAATAGAAAAAATATGATGTATCAGTTTACATTGATTACGAATGTTTTATTTCGTCGAATATAACTTTGTCGTTCTACTTTCTCGAGGTAGGTAAGCCCAGACTTAAAGTTTTTCTTTCAGGCCTTATGGCTCATGCTGAAGCTGTTTTTGAATGTTGTGCTTCAAAAATCCTAATTTTAAACTTACAGAATTCTGAGAACACGATCATAACCATAATTGGCAACGTATGATACAAACTCTTTACCAAACATATCCATAATCTCTCTGATTGGTTCATCTAAATAAATAAAATTTTAGTAAATAATTTGATCATTGTAACTGAAAGAAAGACGATTTGATACATAATTAAAGCCGTTAAAGGATATTCATCTCAAAAGTCCAAAATACATTTTAACAGCGTTAAAATACTTTTCTGCATTTATTCACCAATAAACTTTCGAAAGCCATCTTTAATCAAGATTTATGGAGATATATTGCAAAGTACTCTACCCCCTGTTCAAAAATTTCATTCAATTTTTATAAATTAAAAAGTGTTGTTTTAGGGACTCACTCTTTCGTTCTCTAACTACTAGACTTACGAGGGAACCTTCCGAGGTGATAAATCGCTTTTTGATCGACATCTAGTGGGTTATAGGTTATCGACCATGCTGATTCCGAATATGACCGTGGGGCTTCCCCATAGCTCTTCGAAG